CATGCAATCACAGCTTTATTTCAGTTTAGAGGCAAGGTGCTATACTCAAAAGGTGTGTTGCATGACCTGCCATTGATTGTGAAATAATAATCTACCAAACTGACATTAAATATTTGAAAGCGTTCACCTTTTGCCCGCATCAGTCTGGTTGGTTCTACCTCACTTATGCATCGCCATTGTTAATGGCAAGTTTAAAATGTGTTCAAATTTAAACCACAAGACCAATGCGGCTTTATCTCTTTGTTTGTCACATTCGTTCTTCCTTACGTACTAAAAATCGGCATAAATCCATCCACACGAGCACTCGAATATCTCCCCCTACAGAAGGCAAAACAAGCTGAGCTTTACTCCTCAATGAGCTTTGTTGAATAATTAAACATCCCTTTCAAATACACGTCGAGATTCGATCTCACTAAAACGCCATCCGGATTCGGCAGGGATACGATCGTAAATAGTGATGTCAGATCTCCCAGCCCCATTAAAAAGCAGCCAACGGGATGAAGCCCACGACATTAAGGCAGCAAAAAAAGAGCCATTCATGTAAAATGTCCAGAAGAGCTTGTGACAGGGAAGCAGCAGTCATTCACAAGCTTCTTGTAGCGCTGCAGCTAACGCACTGCAGTCCCTCCCAGCGTCTCGCTTTCCTGCCTGCCTGCAAATTGAAAAAAAGAGGAAAAGATAGAGAGAGAGAGAGAGAGAGAGAGAGAGAGAGAGAGAGAGAGAGAGAGAGAGAGAGAGAGAGAGGGATGGAGCCTGCAAATTGAAAAAAAGAGGAAAAGATAGAGAGAGAGAGAGAGAGAGAGAGAGAGAGAGAGAGAGAGAGAGAGAGAGCAAGGGTTTGTCTTCTCCACTAAGACAAAAGCAAAGAAAGCATTATAAGTGCTCCTTGTTCGGTGTTGTCACAGAGATGCGGAAGAGATGCTGAGGAGAGGATGTGAGGATGCTGGGGAGCCGTGCGGACAAAAATGATTTGGGCTTGCTGTGAATGGAAAGGCAGACGGGCATACCGACGTTTCTGTGAATGAAGTCAGGCCTCGGCAGCTTTCTGCATGGCAATCCCTCGGGATGGATCCCGACCGGCCAATCAAGGAAGAGCAGGATGACTCATTCAGGGTAGGCTGGCTGGATAGTGGGACAAACCACTTGAAGCACAGGTGATGGGAGAAACCATTCTCTTCTGACAGCACGGTGTACTGCTCGCTGCGTCGCTTCTAAACTCCTGAATGCATGTAAACCGCTTCTAAAATACGTTTTGGTGGGATGCATGGCCTGTTTAGGAAAAAAACAGCTATAGTCAATTGCACTCTCCGATAAACTGGTCCCTCGTTGTGTCCCGAGAGCAAATTTTGCACATTTATATGAATGAAGGCTGATCAAAGAACATACACTGAACTGAATCGACTGAATTATATGATGCATCCTGCCCAACAGAGCCGTTTGCTTGCAGTATGTTGTTCTGGAAATTAAAAACATGCAACAAAAGCAAATAAAAGGAACTAGATTTGTACATTTCTTGAAGAAAATGTCAGTGGTGATTGTTGGTGCAAAAGTCGCCACCAGGATGCAAGGGTGCTGTGAGTGGTTGCTATACAGTTGCTAAGGTGTTCGGAATGTTATTGTAATGCTATGGAGTTGGTGGGGTATTAGTTGCTAGGTGGTTGCTATGCAGTTGCTAAGGTGTTCTGAGTGATATTTATTGTGATGCTATGTAGTTTCTAGGGTATTCGGATAGTTACAAGAATGTTGCTATGTGGTTGCTAGGGTGGTCTGAGTGGTTTTTACTGAGATGCTGTGCAGTTGCTAGGGTATTAGGATTGTTGTGAAAATGTTTATATGGGGTTGCTACGGTGTTTTGAGTGGTTTTTATTGTTGCTAAGGTGTTCTGAGTGGTTTTTAATGTAATGTGGCACAGTTGTTATGGTATTAAGATGGTTGACAGGATGTTGCTATGTGGTTGCTAAGGTGTTCTGAGTGTTTTTTAATGAAGGCTACACAGTTGCAAGGGTATTAGGATGGTTACCACAATGTTGCTATGTGATTGCTAGGGTGTTCTGGGTAGTTTTTAATTGTTGCTACAGCATTCTGAGTGATTTTTATTGTGATGTTGTGCTGTTGCTAGAGTACTAGGATGGTTTCCATGACGTTGCTGTGCGGTTGCTAATGTGTTCTAAGTGTTGTTTTTTTTGTTGTTATTGCTAATGTGTTCTGAGTGGGTTTTATGGTTTCTAAGGTGTTCTGAGTATTTTTGTTGCCAAGGTGTTCTGGGTGGTTTTTACTGTGCTGCTGTGCAGTCGCTAGGGTATTAGGATGGTTGCAAGAATGTTGCTATTTGGTTGCTAAGGTGTTTTTGACTGTTTTTAGAGTATTTCCACTGTTGCTAGGATGTTGTGTGTGGTTGCTAGGGGGTTTCTTAATGGTTGGGTTCATTCTTCAATGTAAATCTGTGGGGTTTCTTCACCTGTTTTATTATCCAGCAGTTGAAAAATCCACAAATCTGATGCATTTAAAGAAATGTAAGAAAAAAATCAATTTAAGTTTTAAAATTAGCCTTTACATACCAGAATGAAGTCACCTAAAAAAATTGTTGGAATAACATGCACTAATAATAATAAAAATAATAATAAAAAAAAAAAGTTAACAGGGTCAAATTACTTCACACTGACTTTTAATATTCAATATATTCAATATAAAAAGCTGATCAATAACCTTCAATAATGAATAAGCTTCAGTGGTGCGCATCTGGATCAGGATTTATCTATCTGCATCACATCGAACTCTACAGTGCTTCTCAGGCAGTTTACTCACAGTGGAAAAGAGTTCATCAGGTTCATCTTCCTTTCATAATACACCTGAATGTCCCAAAACAAGAAAAACACAGAAAATCTGTTACAAACATAAGAAATCGTACTGTTTCACTGTAAATGTATGCATTACACATTATGTGTTCTATATGTTTATATTTATACGCATAGATAGTAGAGATAGTGGGTGGCAGACTATGTGTGTGTGTGTGTGATCTTCATAGTCGTGACTGAAGTGTGTCGGGTTCACTCCTACACATGCTCATTAAAACAGCAGGAAGTATAGAAACTGAGAGAGAGAGAGAGAGAGAGAGAGAGAGAGAGAGAGAGAGAGAGAGAGAGAGAGAGAGAGAGAGAGAGAGAGAGAGAGAGAGAGAGAGAGAGAGAGAGAGAGAGAGAGAGAGAGAGAGAGAGAGAGAGAGGGAGAGAGAGAGAGAAAGAGAGAGAGAGAAAGAGAGAGAGACAACACAGAAAGCTTTCCTTTTCAAAGTCCAAAAATCACATCACATGATCACATGTCTGTTGGGACACATATGAGGTATGTCACTCTTAAATGGCAGGTAAAGCATGCTAAAACAAGAAGAGTTTTATTCCAGTGACTATGACTAATAAGGTTTAGTGACCTAAAAGCATTGGTTTAACTACACTGCAGATTTATAATAGACTATTTTTGTGATGTGGAACTTAAGGACCCTAAAAGATGTCTATATACAGTATAAAACATGTAAATATAGAATAAAACAGTAATATCTACAACATATCGATTGCATTTCATTTTAACACTGCATTTAGCAGAGTAAACGTTCAGACTGCATCCAGACGCAAAAGAGAGAGAGAGAGAGACGCTGCCTACAGGAACCTTTACTGTAACCATAGTTTCAAAGACAGCATAGCAACAGGAATGAGGTGAGGGGGCCGGCCATAATGATTGGCAGCTCACATCCGGCGGATGCCATTGGCTGCTGCGAGAGTGTGTTTTCCGGTGTAGCACGGCATACTCTAGTGTACATGCCACTACATGTGTTTGCAGGAAGATGGAATTCAGGTGTTACTAGGATACCACGACATAAGATCAACATTTGTTTTCGTGCAAACAATCAATGATGCAAATACCCGAGGATGTACTATAATTGACTCATGAACAATATTGATTATCATGTTTTTTGTGTTTTTTAATATTCTGATGCCTTTAGGAGCATAAAGATTAAATAATATGTATCAGTGCACATCTCAAAGAGCTGTAATGGCACAAATGCATATTTAATGTGTAAATTATTGAGTTTATTTAATAGTAGTTTGAGTTTATTTAGGTAGTTGACATAATATGGACCTGAACTTATACAAAAGGATTTTTGGTTATTTTATTTATTTTTTAATTTTTTTTAATACACAAAAGAAAGTTTACATTTTCACATGAGCAAGATTTTCACCAATTTAAATAACCCTTTTGTCTTTTTGAAGCCAAAATTACTGATTTAAAATAAAAAAAAAGAATAATTAACTTTTATAAAGAATATCTTTGAGACTTTAGTCTTTGCAACTTTACAGGTCTTCTTTATGCACCAAGAGCTTGTAACACTCCAAAGAGAAAAGAAACATTGAAATCGCATCATATGACCCCTTTAAGTTTCTCTTATGAGTTCTTTAAAAACTGCATGTATAATAATTATATGAAATTAGATATTGTTTACAAATTTCTGATGAGTTATAACGCGAATTAAAAAGTTAATTGGAAACTACACACTTTTGTTTATTTCCGTTTTTCTTTAATTTCTGCTTTTATCTTCTGTTTTTGAAATATAAACACTGGAAAAGTTGAATGCAATAAAAGTGAAATGTTACATCATTTAAAAAATAATAATACCAGCAAAAATCAAATCAAACACAGTTTGCTGTCTTTCAGTCATACTTTTAAGGGTTTTTAAGCTCTCAAAAGATGTAACCATCAAGCATGGCTCAAAATAGCATGATAATGCAGTAGTAACATTACACATTTTACCTTGAGCAGGTTTCTGAGGCAAATATATATATATATATATATATATGTTATATTTACTGGCACACACATTCTTTCATTTCCTTATCGCTGATCGGTTTCCAGGGCAACCGCGCTTTCCTCCGCCCCCGCCCTTCCGACGTGCCCACGCTGACTCCAGTCACATGACCTCTCTCAACCAATCAGAAGTGGCGGCTCCGGTTGAACTGCGGGTTCAAAACCGTATCGGTTAAAATTGTTAAAGTTGCTAGAGTTTGATCGAATCCTTCTTTCACGGATCAATACATCTGATTATTGTCATAATTGACTTAATTTAATCTAAAATGGCTCATAAACAGATCTACTACTCGGATAAATACACAGATGATCTTTATGAATACCGGTAAGATGAAAAACGAGGAGGTTTGAGGCCTCGACGCGGCGTGTTTGTTTATTTAAGCCTCAGTTGTAAGTTACGTTAGTGTTGAATGTAAGCTCTATGAAATGCTTAGTATTCTTAATTAATATATTCGGTCATTTTACAGGTATGTTTTGACGTCAATTCAAAACTTGTGGTCGGATTGTCTCCCATGTGCTTTTAGTGTATTGACGTTATTTTTACAGCATCACATTCATGTCAGTCACAGCACGTAAATATGATTGTTTGTTGTCATTTTGTGACGGCAGACATGTGGTCTTACCGCGAGAACTGGCCAAACAAGTGCCCAAATCCCACCTGATGTCCGAGGATGAGTGGAGGAGGCTGGGCGTGCAGCAGTCGCTCGGATGGGTCCATTACATGATCCATGAACCAGGTCTGTCACACACACATTCATCACAGCCAAAGTGTGTGTTCACACTGAAGTCAGCTGATCTCTGACCATGTGATTTGAATCTAGGCTTGAATATGGCATTCCCAAACTGTGTCCTTAAAGGAGTAGTTCACTTCCAGAATAAAACTTCCCTGATCATTTACTCACCCCCATGTCATCCAAGATGTTCATGTCTTTCTTTCTTCGGCTGCAAAGAAATTAAGGTTTCTGAGGAAAACATTCCAGGATTTTTCTCCATATAATGGACTTCAATGGGGACCAACAGGTTGAAGGTCCAAATTGCAGTTTCAGTGCAGCTTCAAAGGGCTCTACACGATCCCAGCCGAGGAATAAGGCTCTTATCTAGCCAAACCATTGGTCATTTTCTTAACAAAATTTAAATTTCCCGTTGGAAAGGTCACGCTCGGTTAGCTCTTCGTCTGTGTACTCCGGTTCAAAAAGGTAGGGTAGGGCGAAAAACTCCATCTCATTTTCTCCTCCAACTTCAAAATTGTTTTAATGGGTGTTTGACTTTCTTTGCACGTTCACCAGTTGTAAACACTGGGTCGGTACTTCTGCCTACCTCACGCATGACCTTTCCAACACGAGCTAGTGCAAGACGAGCATCTGTGGTTAAAAAGTATATACATTTTTATTTTTTTAAGAAAAAAAGATAAGAGCCTTATTCCTCGGCTGGGATCGTGTAGAGCCCTTTGGTAAATTATCAGGGAATTTTTTTCTGGAAGTGAACTACTCCTTTTAATATTAAAGTTATTATAAATGGAAAAAAAAGCCTGACATTTGATTATATTTTATTTTTCAGAACCTCATATTCTGCTGTTTAGGCGACCTCTACCAAAACAATGACAGCGACACATCGGGAACATTCCTGTGGTTTTCAGTGAGAACTTATTGGAGAACTTAACCACGTTTTCTGGACTCCTTTGACCATGATGCTGCGTTTCACGTCGGTTATGCTCGGACAGAATCAAGGGATTGTGGGAAATGTATTTTCAGTGAAAATTTAAGGGCTCTTAACTCTGGAAAGAAAGAAAAAATCATGCGACTCAAGTGCCTCTCTGAGTGAAGCTAAACCTTTAAAGATTTGTGTTGAATAAAAGTCTGTGATGCATCATCAGTGTTTAGAAACCTAAATCAGTGTTTAAGTGGCTGAGCTAAATACATTTTGTGGGATAAAAGATGTACTGTATGCTAAAGGGAGATCCTTTGTGTCTATCTAGTTAATATATTGGCCATTCTCAGGTTGAAATTCTTAGTTTACATTACTTCTTCAGGGAAGGCGATTGTGATACAGTATAGATGCTTTATAAAGTTTAAAATGTGCTTATATCACATATAAAACTTTGTTAAAAAGGTAGATATAGAAGAAGAGCCATGACGACAGCACTATCAGCAACTGTGCTACTTGAAAGAGAGAAAAGAACGTCTTCACCCTTCATCGCAAATTACTTTTGAAAAAGAATAGAATTGTGATTGTGTAAATTGTTATTTTATTCTTGCTGCTCTTTATAATAAATTTTTTTGATTAAAATGCCACCTCATATGTGCTTTATGCGAGGTTCCTCTATCAGCACTTCACAACTTTCAACACACGATGGCGCCACATCGCAACTAACGCTATGGTTCGGTTTGAAAAACATTCGAAATACTGGACTTAATTGTAAAAGGTCTAATTCACGGCTAGCAAGATAGGGTTTTAATAACATTTGTCTGTCTATGCAGTAGAAACGCGATTAAAAATTGTGCTACACGACTAGAGAAAACCAAGGGCTGTGGCGAAAAAGGTAGGAAAACTTCAACACCCATAATGCACTGGGCTCGATCAGACTACACGTGACCAGGGATACAACAAGGCGGAAGTTCGATCTGTAGTTTTTAAAAAGCCTTGTAGCTGTCGAAATAATTCAAAAGTGGATATAAAATCGGCGAATTTACCCTTTAAAGCACAACTATTTAAAAAGAAAACATGTAGTTGTAACCCACTTATAGATGCACCGTTCATGTTGTATTCCACATTTGTTAGTTTGGATAAATTATAATACAATAATAAAATACAAATGTGCTCCTTTTTTAATACGTTTGGTGTTGTTGATCACCATTATCACGGTTTCAATTGGTCATGCGGTCAAAAAGTGTGGTTTGTCGCCACCTCACAGTTTTCCAGTCGAATGATTTTCCAAACGCCTTAAATATTATAAACACAGTCAATATTATAAAACACATCCACAATGAATAGTCCACATGTTCTGTATTAATGCACACAATTGCTTAGAGGAAGGAACTATAATACATGGCGGCAGGGCCGGCCCTAGCATTTTGGGGGCCCTAAGCAGATTTTCAAAAGAGGGGCCCCTTCATAACCACCCCCCATCCCCCATCGTATACATCACACACAGACACTTTATTGTAAAGCAATGTTATTTTAGTATCGTTCATGTGCTATTATAGTTTTTGTTAATATATTGAATTATTTTTATGTTATTTTTATATTTTCTGCTGTCATTTTCATTTTAAAGTTTTAGTAATTTTTTTTGTTTGTTTTTATTAGTTTTGTTGATTTTCTGTATAGTTATTACATTTTATTTCAGTTTTAGTGTTAGTTCTTTTAGAACATCAAGATAAACTAAATGAAAACGGGAAATGTTGCCTTGTCAGCTAGCTAAAATAAAACAGTATTTTATTTCAAGTAACATTTTTTTTATTTTATTTTTTTATTTGAGTTAACTATAATAACCATGTTGTAAAAAATTACCAAACTGTCTTAATCATGTACTCGTGTGTTTATCTTTCAATACATAAATATCAAGATATTTTTAATTAAGCACTTTTAACAATTATTTAAAACTTTTAAGTTGCTTTCAGAAAAATGTATGAAAATTTTGTGAGATTAATGCTTTAATAAAGCAAGAACACCTGGATTATGAAAATTAAAGAGAATAATTTATTATTATTGCTATTATTATTATTATTATCAATGATAATACAAAATAATCAATTTTGGGCTGGCATGTTTTATTCCTGATTAAAATGCAAAAATGTATAAGTGTAAACAAATGTTTGAATAAAGATATGGTATATTTAAATATTTGTGTTATAAACACCAAAGTGATTAAAAAATCTGAATGGCTATTTGAAAACATGTAAATACTGATTGACTTCCTTTGACCTCCGTGACAAACAAGCAGGTGTCAGAAGTTGCGCTTGCGTAGAGGAGTAACCATGGTAACGGTCTATTTCTGCTGTTCCTAAAGCGCCACCTGCTGTCAGAGTGAACTTGCATTTTTGTTCAGCACGTCTGCAGCTTTGTTCACAACAATGAGAAAATCTGACCGAACTTTTACACCGCAAAAGCGCAGCGCAGTGTTGTAAAACTTAACTGGTCGATGGAAAATAAGATCATATATGCTTCTAAAAATCTAAACCATTCTGATAATAATTTTGATGCGAAATTATTTGCGTATTTTGAAGAGCCCAAGACAACAATACCGTTCATGTTCATTACTGTTGTTACACTGGCACCGCGCGTCTTCAAAGCGCTCGCAGCACGATGCAGCAAAAGCCATTTCAACAATATATTTTCAAAATCCATCACGTACCCTTATGTTGCTCATTTTCTTTTCCCACATCTCTGCAGTCTGCACCAGTTTTATAGTTCTGCCTCTTCATTTTCAAACATTAACACACGGGACTGAAACTTTATAAAAGTTATTATTGTCGAGCATTACCGTCTGAACCCTGACATGGGGCCCCCTGGAGGCCACGGGGCCCTATGCAACCGCTTATATCGCATATTAGGTCGGGCCGGCTCTGCTCGGCGGAAGAATTACGATCATAATTACGGCAGAATATTTAACTATATCTGTTTTATCAGATTTCAGATTATCGTTGCGTTTACATTTTATTGTTTGCTATACGAGTCCAGTTTTGTTCCTCTAAATATAAATTATTTGATTTAATGCGTATGCTTATCCAGACATCTTTCCTGGCTTTACTTAATATGAGACGATAATCACAACATTTGCTTGTTGTATGACTTCGATAGCCGTCAAAATGACAAAAGCCACTAGGTTTGGACTGTGACACATTAAACAGGCCTGTTCAGTCATCATAAATGTCTCTGGCCTTTGCTGGGTCATGACCAAATCTACTTACAAATGCTTATTAAGTCTGTGTTTCATCAAAGTGGGTTTTAATTAAATTCATTTTTCATTAAATTGACTCACCTGTGGCTGGATCTCACTCATTTCCTGTTTCTGAAGAACCACATCCTGCATGCAGCAAAAGATGCTGCTAATGAACTGAGGAAGAGGTGAAAGTCTCAAACCACAAGATAAAACCATTTGTTCACCTATAAATGATCGCATTGAGAGTCTTGTGGAAAATGTACTGACAGTGCATTGTGTGACAGCTGTGCTGCATAATAATGTTTTATGTGCATACAATAATTGCATGCTAGTTTTCAAAACATTAGTTGCTGATCTATAAAATGTGATTTAAAGGCTTAAATGAAACACTTGTATGTACTATATCTGTCCAGTTTTGGTTTTTATGCAGAAAGATGAATGGATGAGAGACTGAGAGGTCACTTTCCCTTGTTCAGAGGTTTAAACAATGACTTTAATAGGTTGTTAAGAGTTGTGTGTGTGTGATCAGCTGGTAAAGCAGCACAGGACTTGATATATGAGTCTTTTCTTGGCAGCTGATTGTGTGGGTTAGTTAACAGTCATATGGTCATCTCAGAGGTCAGAGGGGTCTGGGAAATGTGTGCTGACCTTTGGATGAGGATAAATGACGACAGCATTGACCTTGACATGGAGAGAAGCCACAAAACCTTTCATGTTTTTAAAGTTTTGATGTTTGCATACAAACCTACAGCTCAAAACAGACTGGACCCATGTAAATCCAGGTTATCATCATTCACTAAAACTAAAAACAACCATTTTTTGTAAAATAAAATAAACGTTAACTGAAATAAAATTGTTATTTCAACTAGTTGCCAATGCAACATTTCTAATTATAAATTTAAATTGATGTACTAAAATAAAAATGAAAAACTATATAGATATTAAAAAATACTTTTAAATTTGATTAACTTGATGTACTAAAATAAAAAAAAAATTAAAACTGAAAAAAAAAAAATTACTAAAACTTTAACTTAAATTAAATTGAAAACAGAAAATATAAAAAGTAATTAAAATATGACTAAAACTAAAATAGTATCTCAATAAATACTGTTTTGTTTTTCCAGGTAGTTACCAAGGCAACATTTCTCATTTCAGTTCAGTTTAACAAAACTAAAACTGAAATAAAAATTAAAGTATTTATACATTTAAAAAAATATTACAACCTTAAGTAAAACTAAAGTGAAAATGGAAAATGAGAAAAAAAAAAAATATTAATAAAAACTATGATATTATCTCAATGATACTAAACACTTCAGATATGTTTAAAAAACATGGTTAAAGACTCTCACAAATGATAGAAATATAATTTATTGTGGTTGCAACCTCTATTTTTGAGGACAAAATATATTCAAGAAAGTTTAAATATATCTGCTCAGATAAACACATGTGATTAATTAACACAATATTATAAACCCAAATCTTGCTTTCACTAACATGAGCCGGTGTCATTTGCTCTCGAGGATGGAGGGAGTATAAACAGAAGTGTGTGGACGGTCATCAGCCGGAGAGGCCCGTCTCACTGCACACATCCTCCACGGCTCTCAAACAGCCTGAATCCCACACATCCACCGACCGGCGGGATCCACGGACCACGAACAGACCCAGAGCGCCTGTGAGTGTGTGTTTGCCTCACGGTCTGAAGAAACACACACCACCAGTGTGACGTGAGCTGTGTGAAAGATTGTGTGTGTGTGTGTGTGAGCGTGTGTGTGTGTGTGAGAGAGAGTGTGTGAATGTGTGTGTGTGAGTGCTCTCGTCCAAGCGTCTGTCCCTGGAGTCAGAAAATGATGCCATGATGAGCGATAATGAGCCGGTTCAGAGAACACCCTGTCCATCACAGCTCTCCTACAGGACAACAATGATAAACAACAAACATCAGCATCATCATCACAAACATATGCTGAGATCTTCAGCCTACAGAAGACAAATGTGTTTAATGAAGCATAACATAACATAACATAACATAACATAACATAACATAACAACATAACATATAACATAACAACATATAACATAACATAACAACATAACACATAACATAACATAACATATAACATAACATAACATAACATATAACATATAACATAACATAACATAAATATAAATGATAAAAAAAAATATATATAAACAAACAAACAAACAAAAAAAATAAAATAAAATAAAATAAATATATTTTTTTTTGTCAGTATTTACTGGAACAATTTTAAGGAAGCTTTTCAATGTCTAACTGAGCTCAGTACCAACCCGAAGTCTGATGAGGCAGCACTTTAAATGTGGAAATGCATTATAAATAAATAATGCAGATCTTTTTGGTTCAGCTTTTATAAATACTGGACGAAGCCTCTTTCACCTTCAAC